ACATCCTCACCAATTTCTTCAGACCAGGGAGTCTTTTTCAACCCCTTAAATGTTATGTAGACGTTTGCACATTTGGCCTTGAGCCTCTCATTCGACGGCTTCATATCTTCAATATTAGTTTCTATGGCCACTTTCACAATCTCCAGATTGGACAAGAAGTTCTGCAGCAACAATAGTTTGGTTTTTATTACCAACAATGCCATGCCACTCATGGTATGAAAAAAAAAAAAAAAACTAACCTTTTTGTTCCGCATCCTTCGCCTATCGTCTGCACAAATTAAAAGTTCCAAATAGAGATTAATACACTCAGTTTCTTTCCACTCTAATTCCTTCAACTGAAAAAAGCAAGAAAAAAGATATCATTGCTTGGTTAATAGATGATCATGAGCAAAACAAAACAAAACTGATCAAGCTGTGTCTTAGTAAATAATCTTACCACGTAAAATCGTTTTGTATCATTCAAAGCCTCATCTAATGGCCAATCAGGCAATTCACCATCGAAGAATTTACTATCCGGGATTGCGTAACCATGAAAGTGAGGTACGAAGGGCTTTTCGGTGGTAACTATGGAACATTATTGTCAATCAGCAAGTGAGATTTTATTTATATAGTCAAAGACTTGTATTAAAACAAACAAAAATGAACAATGCAAGTCACCTTCATCTTTTTTAACTCTAGGTCTAGCAATAGAGCAGGTTACATCCAATCTGTTAATTTTTTGTTCATCAAGTCGAACCTGAAAGGTTTAAGTCTACCAGTTGAATCTCTTGCATTCAAAGTCATGTAATAAGAAGACACGCAGTTTTGTAACATGTTGAGTTTCAATAGGCCCTGGAGCTGGAATCTTGTTCCCTGAGGAATTTACAAATGAAGAAAGAAAAAAAGTGAAAATGATATAGTAATAACAGAACATATATTTGATACAAATACTTAATTTAATAAAGAGTTTACCTCCAACATATTGTACCGATGAAGACCCAACATAGCATAACGCTTGACCAAGACAGGATAAGGATAACGAGCAGACTTTTGACAGTCGTACGATACCAGTCCAATGTTATCTGGTATTGTTGCAACATCCTCGATATCAAAACCCTAATTGACCCATCAGAAAATAATCAGTTAGCAATCCCATAAACTAATTGACCCATCAGCAAGTAACCACATGATTAGGGTTAGGGTTAGGGTTAATCTTGTCGTAAGGAACAATCCAACAAATTAATCACAATAACGGAGAAGAAGATTACATCAGATTCTGCCACTCGACTCCAGTATACACTCGGCCCTCCCCAAGCCTCATAGTCCTTCTTCGTAAAATGCTTACTCTCCACCACCTCCGTCGTCGTATTCTTCTCCACCTCCGTCGTCATATGCTTCTCTTACTTGTGGTGATTGCTATTTTTTATTCAGTGGAAGCGATTTATGCTCTTATATTCATTTGACGCCTTCAGTGTTGGGCCTTACAATAATAAAATTTATTTAATACGGGATTTTTTCAATTTCTTTTGATAATATGCTTTGAATTTGATAATGCAAAAGACTTCAAATAGCTAAACAAATTCAGTTAAAGACTACTATTCACTTGAAGAAAATAATGGAAACTCGATCCGTATGCCACACAAATACTATATATACTAGTCTTATTGAAATATATATACGAAATATTATATCTAGCTATTAAGTTGATAGGAAGCAATGGACTGGAGAGTATAGCTCAGATATGGAGAAACAGTTTTGATGCTCCAAGTCACTTAACATCCCAACAAGCACAAACATATACTTAGAAGCTCGAGATGGAAGGATTCACATCCGTTTATATAAATGTGTTCACAAAACTGTTAACTTTCATGTTCCGAGTCAAAGCGAATATTTATCTTTTCAAACCTTTGTTCTTTTTTATTGCTTTCGATATCACCACTCTGAAAAGGAACCCTCACATTGATTCTATAGATAGAAAGACAAAAGCATGTTTCATGGATATTTCATAGTGACGTTTATTTGGGCTTACACATAAAGACAAACTCCCACAATATGAACTATCACGACTTACTCTTGACCGTTAACCATAACATCTTGCGTGATGATTTCAATAATATCCTGGAGAACAATGATTATCTGTGACTAGTAGTAGGTTTCATCTTCCTTATAATCACTAAGCTACCATATCTAATTTAGAAAAGAGTAAGAAACACACAAAATAAGTATATGTGTTGAACGAGAAAAAAGAAAAATCTATGAACGTCTAGTATGGGTGAGATCGCTTTTTAGAACTCTGGCCTTTTTCTCCACTCGTGGGAGTATGCTTCCTAGTAAGCTTTGTCGTATCTTTACCACTCCAAAGCTTACCCACGAGGGTCAAGGATCCTGTACTGCTGATGACTCTTCTGACTATAGCTTTGCGTTCAACATGCTCACCAATCTCATCAATCCGTGGATCCGTCTCCAATCCCGTAAACGTTATGTAGATATTTGCACATTTGGCCTTGAGCCTCTCATTCGACTGCTTCACATCTCCAATATTAGTTTCTATCGCCACTTTCACAATTCGGGCCTTGGACAAGAATTCCTACAGAAACAATAGTTTTGGTGTTTTGTTATCAGCGACGCATGATGCCACTCATGCCATATGTCATTGATATGCAACAAAAAAACAAACCTTGTAGAGCCGCGACGACCACCTATCATTTGCACGAAGTAAAAGTTCCAAATAGAGATAAATCCATTTAGATTCTTGCCACTCTGATGTCTTCACCTGCAAAAGTAAGAAAAACATACCACTGCTTGCTTAATTGATAATCATGAGCAAAAGAAAACAAAATTGATCAGGCTGTGTCATAATAAATAATCTTACCACGTAAAATCGTTTTGTATCATTCCAAGCATCATCCGACGGCCAATCAGGCACATTCCAAATCGCCGAGAGCTGCGGATACATGGCTAACGACCAAAACCATCTCCGCTCCTACAGCTTTTTCGAGTCCAAACGCTGCTATTCTAGCAAACAACTCAAACAACTACAAACTCACTTAAGGGCATGCACAAGAAACAAATAACTTGACCCGATCGAAATCGGAGATCCTAGATAAAGACACAGCTTTGCACCTTAACTGCGTCGACATATGGAAACAAAAACGAACATAAACTACTCAACAACATATGAAAAAAAAAAAACCAACATAATTAAGAAAGGTAAGAATAGAAAACCTAAACTAATACGCATCCAAACCTCAACATTTAATAATCGGTTATTAAGTTAAACTGCATAACTAAACCGAGTAATAGAAATAACTTTATCAAAACTTTCATTTTTTATGGAACGAAATAAGCCTATAATTATTAAAAA